TATTATATAGGAGCTGGCAAAGGCTTAATGACAAAGAGATCTCTTTCTAGCCTTTCCCACATCAGAGATGGGCTCCCACATGTGGCAGACAAGCTCATAAGTTTAAGTCCTTACAGACAGGCTGACATAGACCTGTCTGGCCTGAGGAGAATCTCTGCTGAGGGGTGTTTCTCCACCCCTGTGATGGATTTGCTACGTCTCAGGGACTGTGCGGGAGGCATGAGCTCTCTGAGACCTGCATGAAGAATTTCTCCTGCTCCTCCCCCCCACCCCAGGTCATTCCTGTGCCCCTCAGCCGCTGCGCTACTGATGACATTAAAGATGCCTTCATTACTCAGGCACAGGAGCAACAAATAGAGCTGTTGGAAATCCCAGAGCACTCAGACATCAAGCAGGTAAAACAGGAGGGGAAGGTCATATTCCAGGAGAAGTAAAGACCTGGTTTCTGACATGTTGAGCCTGAGGTACTCAAAGGTGTTTAAAAAATGTTAAATGGGCAGGTGACAATTTGGTCACTAGAGCATGGGGTATTGATTAGACTAGAGATGAAGATGGTATTACATCAGTGCCTTAATGCTTTCCTGGGAAGAGCAAGAAATTAGAAATTTCCTAAGGCAGGAACTTAGGAAGGTAGGTGCTACTGGGAGGATCTTTGTAATATCTGCCAGTTTGGCTTTTTAAACTCTAGTTCCACTAAGTGGCTTGGGATTTATATCTGCTCACATCCTTTTTCTTGTGCTTCTAAGCTGAATTCTTTGCCAAATTAAAGCTTTAAAGAGATGGGCTGGGATGTTTGACTTTTAAAGCGCTATTGCGTGTCCTCACATGACTCTGTTTACTTTAGATTGCACAGCCAGGAGCAGCATATTTTTATGTTGAACTTGACACAGGAGAGAAACTTTTCCACAGAATTAAAAAGAATTTTCCTTTGCAGTTTGGAAGGTTTGTACATTTTTCTTATTTTAAATGTATTTTCACTAGACCTACTCTGAACGAAGTAGTGGGCTGCATGGCCAGTTGAGTAAAAAGCCAAACAAGGAACAGTCCTTGCCCCAAGGAACCAATAGTCTTAGGGCAAGTCAGATGTTTACATATATGACAGTAATGCAATGCAGAGTGTGAAAAGCACGAGTAAGGAGGGGACGGTGCCAAGGCTCTCGCGAGTGCAGGGCCCATCATGTGTCCAGGGGCCACGATTAGGGATATATTTGACCCCACAGCCATCCAGGATGAACTGCTTTTCTGCCACCATGTTTTCAGATTCATTTAAACTTAGTTAAAATAAAGCACCACTTCTTGGAGACATGGATCTTCTGGCAGCCAGGGAACTTGAACTTCGCCCTGTGGAGGGCCTCAATCACATGTTTCTTGTTCTGCAGGAACAGTTGTGGATGGACATTATGACTTGGCCAATGTGGACCCTGGCCACTGTGCCCTGGGGCTTTCCCAAGGCACCGTGCATACCTGTCTGGAGCCTAGATCAGGGACAGCATGCCAGTCATGAATGTCCACTGGAAAGGGCTGTCTCCAGGGTCCCTTAGGGCAACCCATAGAGGCAACAGGCTGCATACACTACGAAGAAGGCTGCTGTTTGCAGTCATTGCACACTGGGGCCCCATGGGGAAAAGAGCACAGTCAGCTTAATTGGCTGCAAAGGAGTTATTTCTAATATATCAAAATAAGTAAAAGTATAAAGCAGTGGCATTTAGAAGGTAGCTTGTGTATGTGGTGGTTTTGTTGACATTGAGCCTGTGCTGTTGTGCCTACGTAGCCCTGAGTGCACTAGAAAGAGAGGCAGAAAGTCAGAGTGGGATATGATACTAGGTGCCTGACTTTTCACCTCAGCACACTAATGGCCCGAGATGACAGAACTAGAGTTTAAGGCAGGATGTAATTACAGCTAGTTTGGTGCTTTGATTATGTTGTCTCCATACATCAGAAAACCCTTATTTTGCATTTCATAGGCAAGGAAATCAAGGCACAGTGATGAAGTAATCTGTTCAAGTCACAGATAGCAAGTGGCAGAGCTAGGAATGGAATCCAGTCCCTGATATTTCTGATATCAGGGGCTGCCCTCTTTCTACTGTGCCATGTTGCTTCTCTAGGTACCAGTAATGTAGTTCCAAGTTGTTCAGAGAAGTAAATGGAATTTGAGGGGCTAGAAGAGCTAAGACCTGAGCGGGTCACTTATAACAGGCATGACTTTGATAGATAGAATGGCAGAGATGGCTCTCAGGGCAGAGAAAATGGTATGATTTAAGTCAGAGAAATTTGCATACCTTCTTTGGGTGATGCTGAGTGGAGCTCTCTGGCTGGAGAGGAATCGAAGGAAGAGTGGGTTTTGGACTGATACTGTCCGTTTTGACTTCTTTGTGCTTTTTCTGCAGGGAGGTCCTGGCTAGTGAAGCTATCCTTAATATTCCTGACAAGTCTGACTGGAGGCAGTGTCAGATCAGCAAGGAAGAGGAGGAGACCCTGGCTCGTCACTTCCGGAAAGACTTTGAGCCCTTTGACTTCACTCTGGATGACTGAGCAAAGGGAAAAGCACTTTATGAACTTCACAGGATGTAATGGCAGCCTGTTTTTTGAGAAACAACAGTCTCCCACGGGGACTGTTTCCCTGCCTCTTTTTTGTGTATTCCCATGGAAGCTGCCTGCAGCAAGAGGCCTAAGATTGAATATTTTTTAGAAAAAGTCACATTCTAGGATGAAGATCTTATGTTAAAAGCATGTCTGTCATCAAACTCCAAGTACAGCTTGTTTTTATTAACATTTTCAAAAATATTTAAACTATCATATAAAATCCAAATGCTTTTTCATGGTTGGGAAGTGTCTTGCGTTCATGTTACCTATAACCATTGAAATGAAGTAGTGTGTGTGTATAGTAGGAGGGGCCAGGGCTTTAGGCCCAGGTGTTATCCCAGGATCTCACAGGTGGCTTCTCACTGAACAACCCAGGATGGAGAAGGCCTTTGCCATTTTTCTCTTATAGCAGTCATCTTACTGATATAGAAGAGCTCATTCAGTCCTTCAGCAAATACTTAACTCCTATGTGCCAGGCATTTTTCAGGCTCCAGGAGTATAGCCATGTCCCAGCATGATCCCTGTTGTCCAGAATTTACGGTCTAATTGGGAAGAGGAGGGGCAGATTTTTAAAAAGAAGACGAGTTCTCCTTTAGATACTGAGTTTTAGTTGCTGTTTGATAGTTACAAATTCATGGAGATCTGGTTTGGTGATAGGGTTTTGGGGCTCATCAGGGTATAGGCCATAGGTGAAATTATGAGAATGGATGGAAGTAGGGTGAATACAGTCCTAAGCTGAAGATGACTACCTGAGAAATGTCAATATTTAAGGAGTGCTCAGAAATAGAGTGATCCAATAAGTACATGGAGAAAGAGCAGAGAGAGAGAGAGAGAGTGATCACAGGAGAATGCCAGATCTTGGAAGCCAAAAGAAAAATAATTGCTCCTATATACTGGACATTTATGGCCCAGACACTGTTTTACTTAATCCTCACAAAATATCTATGAGGTAGGTATTATTACCTCCATTTTTTACATGAAGAAAACAAACTGGCAAACTTGAAGATTACGGAGCCTGAAGTTAACCTGCCAGGATTTTTTTTAATTCAGAAAAACCTCAAAAAGTGAACTATGGGAAACAACCCAGTTCCTGCGAAGATGGCTGCTTCAGGGTCTTCAGGTCCTCAGCATCCCTTCGCAGCTCTTCCAAGTGAGAATTATGGGATTTTGGCCCCACCTGTGGAAATCAGATACACTCCAGAGCTAGATGCTGTACACCTAGCAAGTGAGGCCTTCATACTATTAGAACAAGCTGCCACAATCATCTGTGCAGTCTGCCCAGCTCTAAGGGACATGTTTTTGGAGGTACCATTTGCCACTTCCAAGTCTGATGCTCCAGCTCCATGGCTAGCAAGCACATATGGGAAACCAGAATCTCTGATTCCACACACAGGTTACTGATGAACAACTACAACACGACTCGTTTTGTATCATACAGTGTTCAACATTCTCATTGCAATATTCAGAGATTCTGGTGACAACAGACATTGCTCTGCCAAAGCCTATTCAGTGCTTTCAAAGCAGCCAGTAGCACTGCTCTGGTGCACATGCTGTATCCACCTTGAGAAGTCTCAACATGCTACATCTGTTGTGGCACAGTCATGTGTCACAAGGTGTTAGCTGGAATTCTATGTAGCTTATAGGCCGGGCTGCGCAAATGATGGTTCAAGTGCACATAATCTCAAGTGAGGTTCAAATGACCACACTTAATACAGCTGACACATTTCTTTAGAGAATTTAATTCCATGCTGATGTTATATCTTGGAGTGATTGATGAGATCCCCAAGTTCCGTGAAGCATACAACGAACTCAAAGTGAAAACGGGGAGCTGGTTCCCCTATTCTAAGGCAATCTGCCACTCAAACACTTCTTGTTGCACCAATAGCATTCGGAAGCTTGCCCCTGCAGCCCTGCATTGCTCATGGGAAACAATCCCCACAATGAGGAACTACCGAGCTGGCAAACCCACAACTGGGGGTATGCCTGACAACAAGCTCAGTGAGGGCGTTTAGGGAAAAGCTCCCGAAGTCAGGAGGAGCATTCTTTACTCCGGAACAGCGTCACATCCTTGAGTTGTTTGGGGTTATAGGGGAGATCATGGAACAGGTGTATAGGAAGTCAAGCAAAAGAAGAGCTGACCTGTCAATGGAAGATGATTAATCATTTAAGAGAAGAAAAAGAACTATGAAGCCTAATGCATCAGTGGGCCTGTTAGTGCAGAATTCTTTCTAGTTCTACGGATTTCGCAATATTCAAATCCTTGGTGGCCTTTGCCAGTGCCACCTCAGCGGGTGGTGAAGCTGGAGGATAGATGGCAGAGGTCTGAAGAAACGTGAAGTGTAGACAGGGGTGGAGACGACGTGACGTTTAGAAAAGACGAATACGGGAAAGACTGGTTTGGAAACTGATTTAAAGGGAATGAAGGGTTTGGAGGGATCTTATATTTTTGAAGACTGGAAAAACACATGTGGGTTCTCTCAGTCACGAAAATTCCCGGGGCACTTAGAATGGATTGAAAACGCTCGCGTCCTCTCACCACCATTTCCCCGGCTGGGCTCCTGCGGGCCCCTGCGGCCCCCGGGAGAAGTTGGGGCGGGGTTTTTCTCCTGCCGCAGTTACCGGAAGTGACGCATCCTCTCGCGAGAAGAGAGACCCGCGAGCCTCGGCAGCCCGGAACCGGCCTCGGAACAGTGGCGGGACCTGAGGACTCTAGCCCTCCCGCCCCATGGAGCGGCCCCCGGGGCTGCGGCCGGGCGCGGGCGGGCCCTGGGAGATGCGGGAGCGGCTGGGCACCGGCGGCTTCGGGAATGTTTCCCTGTACCAACATCGGGTGAGGCGGGGCGCGCGAGGGAGCGGTGGTGGGTGTTCGTCAGGGCGCCTGTGGAACACAGTGACTGTCAGTATGTGAGAGATTGGTGGTGAGACCTTGGGCAGTATTGTGGGCCAGTGAGCGTGTATGTGTGTGTCTGTGTGTGTGTAAGAGAGAGAGCGCACAAGTTGTGTTTGTGAACCTGGTGTGTGAGTCCGAGGTTGTACCAGAGGTCCTGGTCAGTGTGTGTGAGGTAGAGCTATTATGGGGAACTTTTGTTATGACTGTCAAAATGTGACAAAGTGTTTACTGAGCGTGACGGGTTCGTGTGTGTCCCTCTGAATGCAGGGTCAGGGTGTGTAAGGCAGACGCACATCAGAGTGTGTGTTATGACCATAAGTGTGGGAGAAGATGGGCCTGCCTGTTGGAATGTGTGTTCATGTGTGTACTTGGAGGCCTGTGATGTCTGTAGTGCTTGGAGTAGGTAAGGACGGTGTCATGGTGTGTCCACAGTTAAGCTTTTGGACGCATTGGGTAGGCTTCGGAATTGGGGACGCGTTCTAGGTAATGAACAAATCAGCTGGTAAAAATGATCATGGCTTCACAAGGGAAGGAGATAGATTGAGGGTGAGGTGCTCTAGCAGGTGGAAGACAGTCAACATCAGACTTGGGAGTTGTGCTTTGATTTAACTGAAAATGTTTAACCATTGTAGCAGCAGCTAACAATCATGTTTGAGCCAGTCTTTTGATACACCAATAAAAGTTATGAACCCTTTCCCCAGACAAATGCACAGATGCACACCCACACAACTCTATGCATTGCCGTTTGAGGGGGTCCATGCTCTTTTGAAGGACATTCACAGACCTGTTAGGTTTATAGACCCTGGAATAATAATCCCTGCAGTATAGCTTTTGTTTTGTCATGTATGAAATGTTTATAATAATGTATGTACATCATGGGTCTGTTTGAGAGTTAAATAAGGTAATGATGTGTCTAAAGCTAAATAGAGTACCTGGCCCATGGTAAGCCCTCAGATGTTAGCTCCTGCTGCTGCTGTGTTGTTGCTATTGTCATCATCTTCATCATCATTAATTGACATTAAAAAAGGAAATGTCAAGGTAAAAGTGGTGTTCTCAAAGATTTTTTGTAAAAGATAAATCTGTGTGGAAAAACAGATGGGACAAGATGAACAGTTAAGGTATTACTAAAATGCTTGCATGGGCCTATGAATTAAGAAGTGGGTTGAAGAGGAGAAAGCATGATTTGCTGTCCTAAGAAATATGGGTGTGAGTAGAGAGCCCACCATATAGGGTGGGAGGTAGGGTAGATGGGAATCTACCTGGGAGGAATAGGCTTGTTTGTGTGGCAGTTGCAGTGACAAATGTCACTGATATAACTGAGGACATTTTGTGAAGCAGGTTTCTAGATAGAGCATAGGAGGGAATCTCGGAGACAGGGAGAAAGGAAGGTGAAGGACTAAGGCATTAAGTACTTTGACAGCCAGACAAGTAGTAAATTTAATAATTTTCACCATCAGACATAAGGCACTCAAAGAGTAAAGAGAGGGAGCCGAATACTTCCAGCAGAATATTGACTGTGGTCTTGTTATCTAAACCTGCCCCTCAGTCTGGTCATAAGAAAAAGAAGTATGCATGCTAGCATGCTTATGTGACTGCTTTGCTTGGTCCCTGGCTGGGGATGGATGAATACATCAATTTTTTAAAAAAATTGTGGTAAAGTACAATATATAACATAAAATTTACCATTTTAACCATTTTTAAGTGTACAGTTCCGTAGCATCGTACGTTTACATTGTTGTGCAACAGTCATCACCATCCATTTCCAGAACATTTTCATCTTCCCAAATTGAAACTTTGTACCCTTTAAACAATAATAACACACCCCTCTGCCCCCATTTCCTCCTCCCCCCAACCTCTGGCAACCACCATTCTACTTTCTGTCTCTATGGAATTCATCACTTTTTAAATGGAAGAGATTTGGGTTCCTCTAGAATCTTAGAAATCTCTCAGGAACTTTCCAGATGTCCACAGTGACCCTTCCCCAGAACTGGGACGTTTGACAACTGAGTCTGTAGTGAGAAGAGAAGAAATCCTCTGTCATAAGACTTGGAAACAGCATCATTACCTTTTCACTTACAGCTTTGAGTTTACAGCTTTCAAGATCCTTGTGTTTTGGTGGAAGCCACGTCTCAATATTTCACCTATGCTTCTTAAATCACAACGAGAAAGGGAAAAGGATGTGAGATGGTTTATTTAGCTAATTACTGTGCTGGGTGCTGAGGGTACCAGAATCAACAAAAACAGTATTTTCTACCCTCAAGGAAATTTCAAGCCTAGTGGGAAAAGTAGACACTTTAGGTACAATTTGGTACCCTATATAATGAAGGTATTGGTAAAGTGATGTGGAAGCATGGCAAATAACCAAAGAACTCTTCCTAGGGAATAGGGTGGCACATCTCAAAACGTGTTTGGAAAAACTAACCTTGTGAAATGCTTTGAAAAAAGGACACAGTGATCAGTACATTGTATAAATGCTGCATATAATATTTATTCATTTGGAGAGTCATAACCCACATTAGCATATTAAAAGCTCTGTGAAGTCCTATAGTAAAGAAACTAATTTAACTTAGTATTTTCCAATTTTTTTTTGTGGTTAAATATACATAACATTTGCCATTTTAACCATTTTTAGGTGTACAGTTCTGTGGCATTAAGTACCTTCACATTTTGTGCAGCCATCACCACCATCCATCTCCCGAATATTACCTTTTTTTTTTTTAAACACAGAACTCTTCTTTTTTTTGTTTTGCTGGACATCCATAAACTTTCCATAGAACGTTCTTTATGAAAAGGTAGAGTGAAGAAGGCCTTCACAGAGTAGGTGAAATATAAACTGAGAAGTTGAAGGATCCTATAGGGTGGGATCTTTTCGAAATAGATAGCTTCCTGCCTTATTCATATATGATCATTTAGGACTTAATGTTTTTCATGGTTAGATTGACTCCCTGGTAGTAAAAGCTTACATGGGACCTAGCAACAACCGGGTACCTACGCAAAACAAAAGGTTGGAGGGAGGGAGGATAGTGGTTAGGTTGGATTGTAGTCTGTCCTAGTTCCTTACTCTCTCTCTATACATCAGCTGTCTTATCTCTAGCTATCCCCCATTTCAGACCATCCCATACAAGCTGTCTTGCTTCCTGTTCCTGGGCTGCATTATTACTGTTGCCAGAATGTGATGAGGTCTGGCTACTTCCTGTAATGTGCATCAGGTTGCGTTTGATTTCAGTTAGAATTGGCTGAATTACTAGTCATAGAGGCAAGACCTGTTAGGTTCATTTTATAGATATGGAAATATACAATCATTGTTAAGATTTTTTAATGTCATTTGGAATGCAAAGATTAGGAACTAATTTTGGAGTTTTTTTTTATTAGGTTTGGTCATTTTTTTAAAAATAAATTTATTTTTATCTTTGGCTGTGTTGGGTCTTTGTTGCTGTGTGCCGGCTTTCTCTAGTTGCGGCGAGCAGGGGCTCCTCTTCCTTGCGGTGCGGGGGCTTCTCATTCTCTTGTTGCAGAGCATGGGCTCTAGGCGCGCAGGCTTCAGTAGTTGTGGCACGTGGGCTTGGCAGTTGTGGCTTGCGGACTTTAGAGTGCAGGCTTAGTAGTTGTGGAGCACGGGCTTAGTTGCTCCGTGGCATGTGGGATGTTCCTGGACCAGGGCTTGAACCCGCGTCCCCTGCATTGGCAGGCGGACTCCGATACGTGGGCCTCTCACAGTTGTGGCCTCTCCCATTGCGGAGCACAGGCTCCGGACGCGCAGGCTTAGTGGCCATGGCTCACGGGCCTAGCCCCTCCGCGGCATGTGGGATCTTCCCGGACCGGGGCACGAACCCGTGTCCCCTGCATCGGCAGGCGGACTCCCAACCACTGTGCCACCAGGGAAGCCCCAGGAGGACTCTTAACCACTGCGCCACCAGGGAAGCCCTAGGTTTGGTCATATTAAAACTATTTCTTGCTGTTGAGCTTGGGAGCCCTGCGTTATTCTCCTCATTCTAGTTATGCTGGAGCCTGGGGCCCTTGTTAGCTGTCTTGACTAAATTTAAAAAAGAGTTTACTGGGGAGACAGGGCCTTTGTATTATTCTAGCAGTATATATGAGACAGTGTTCTGAAGAGAACTGTTATAGGATCAGCCTCAGTGACTTTTTGTTTGTGTGCTTTGGTGTGTTTGAAGGTCAGTTTTAAAGCATTAGTTTAATAGTCTCATGGTTTACCTGGCAAAAGCATTGGCTCAAGAGAACTGTAGATAAATATGTTTAATTAGTAAAGCTAAAGAGTTTTGTTTCCCCAGGTTGGCATTTCTTTCTTAGCAAGTAAATCTGCACAAGAACCTAATTTATAATTTTCTGTTGACTTTCTATTTTGGCAGGAACTTGATCTCAAAATAGCAATTAAGTCTTGTCGCTTGGAGCTAAGCACCAAAAACAGAGAACGGTGGTGCCATGAAATCCAGATCATGAAGAAGTAAGTGTACTTGATGACTTAAGTTTCCCCAGTTTTGCAGCCCATCCAGATGTCATCATAGGGAAGGAGGCTAGGAATCCATTCTTCTTAGGATATTTTGACGAACATATTTTTCTCTTTCTCATTAAATATATGTGTTCTATTTCAAGTAATAACATCACATCATGCTTAGGTAGGTTTAGTTTAAAAAGTCAGCTACGTATTATCAGACTCAGCTTTCTGAGAGCAGAATCTGTTTCTTCTAGATCTTGGGCAGTGCTCGTCTATTACACTTTATAGTTAAATAACAATCACTACTCTCATTTCTTTACTCTCACCTACTTTGTTAAACAGTGTATCTATTGCTTTGTAAAAAATTATCTTCAAAGTTAGTGGCTGAAAACAACAAACTTGGTATCTCACAGTTTCTGTGGTTTAGGAATTTGGGAATGACTTAGGTGGGTGGTTTTGACTCAGGATATCCCTTCTGAAACATCTCAAAATGTTGACTGGGGCTGCAGTCTTCCAGAGGCTTGAGTGGGGCTGGAGTATCCACTTCCAAGCTTATTTAGTGGCTGTTTGTTAGAGGCATCGGTTCCTCACCATATGGGCCTGTCCATAGGGAAGTTTGAATGTCTTCATGACATGTCAGCTAGCTTTCTCCGAAGTCAGTGATCTGAGAGAGAGAGCAAGTTGAAAGCTGACATATCTTTATGATCTTTCCTCAGAAGTAACACTCCATCCTTTACAAATAATTTTTTTATAAATGTATTTATTTTATTTTATTATTTATTTTTGGCCGCATTGGGTCTTTCTTGCTGCACGCGGGCTCTCTCTAGTTGTGGCGAGCAGGGGCTACCCTTGGTTGTGGTGCACAGGCTTCTCATTGAAGTGGCTTCTCTTGTTGCAGAGCGCGGGCTCTAGGCACGCGGGCTTTAGTAGTTGTGGCACATGGGCTCAGCTGTTGTGGCTTGCAGGCTCTAGAGTGGAGGCTCAGTAGTTGTGGTGCACAGGCTTAGTTGCTCTACGGAATGTAGGATCTTCCCGGACCAGGGATCAAACCTGTGTTCCCTGCATTGGCAGGCGGATTCTTAACCACTGCGCCACCAGGGAAGTCCTACATATAACTTCTATTTGTTAGAAATTAGTCACTAAATACAGCCTCTACTCAAGGGAAAGAGAATTAAGCTTTTGAAGGGAGAAGTGGACATATTTTAAAACCTCCATGGGTAGTGTGCTAATATGTACTTGCAAATAATTCTTCTAGTTGTCACAACAACCCTGAGTTTAGGCATTATCTCTATGTTATAAAGCAGGAAGTTGAAGCTTATAGAGTCATACAACTGGTAGGCAGTAAGAGTCTGGATTTGAAATAAGTACTTTCTGACTAAAGTGTTCTTGATGCACTATAATGGTTCTCAAACTTGGCTGTGTGGCAGAATCACTAGGAAGGCTTGTTAACAATATAAATCCTCAGGCCCTACACATGGAAATTCTGTTTCTTTAGGTCCCTAGGCCCTGGGAATCTATTGCAGTTTTGAGATCCACTGCATGATGATGATGATGATGATGGGATGATATATTGCTAAGGTTAAAAAAAGATGTTAGGAAATAATATATAATGTGATTTGATATTTATTGAAAAAAATGTATTTGTGCACAAATTAAAAACTGGGAGGAAATATGCCAAAATTTTAATAGTGATCACAGCTGGGTGACACTGTAAGTGATTATGGGAGAGGTAGTATGATATAGGCTTTGGAGCCAGACTGCCAGATTTGAATCCTTACTTGACCACTTACTCGCTGTGTGATCTTATGTTACTTAACCAATTTGTGCTTCAGTTTTCTCCTGTGTGATGAAACTCTTAAAAAATCTACCTATAGTAGGATTATTGTGATAAGTAAATGAGTTAATGTATGTAAAGTGCTTACTACTTGGCATATAAAAATGTAATAGTAGTAATTGTGATAGTATTTTAATCTAGATTTTCTTTTTAACAAGTATTAATTTTTAATTATACAAATGAGAGATTAGAATATTATAAATAATGTCAGCCGTTCTTCCCCTCACTGCCCCCCCAATTAACTACCATTTCAAACTCAGTTCCTTTTCATTGGAAACAAATTTTTTATTATAATGTTTTCCCCTTGCTAGGTTGAACCACGCCAATGTTGTAAAGGCCTGTGATGTTCCTGAGGAATTGAATTTTTTGATTAATGATGTGCCTCTTCTAGCAATGGAATATTGTTCTGGAGGAGATCTCCGGAAGGTAGTGTGGATGTTTTGAGATGATGAGATAGTAAATCATGAACTTTAGCAGTGTTCGAATCCCACTCAATACAGTAAAGTAAGAGTCAGGAGTGTATGGCCTGTTCTCTGCTTTTGTGGCTGCTTTCTTACTATAGCAGCAGAGTTGAGTAATTGTGACAGATTATATGGCCTGCAAAGCCTAAAGTACTTACTTTCTGGCCCTTTGCAGGGAATATTTGCTGACCCCTAATTTACAACATGCATTTTTTATTATTGGTGGTGGTGTTTTCAGGATGGGACTGTATTGATGGTTTTAGTCCACAGTATCAGTGTTTAAAGTGTTTATTAATAAGTTGTTTTCTCTGTTGCAAATCTTTCTTTCTGATCTCATTTTAAACCTACCATATGGCTATCTTTACATATTTATCTGTGAGATTTTTCAACTTTTTCGATTTCAGAAACTTTCTCCCTTTATCTTTACTTGTATAAACCTTGTCATGAAATTTACATGTCCTCAGTATGGATTTGGTAATTTTCCTCCTTATATTTTCTTAATCATGACTTATTTTCTTATTTGAGTATTCTCTCAGAGTATAATGATTAATGATTAATATATCGGTATTACTGCCCAGCAATATTGGCAATATACATTTTTAGACTCTTTTTTTCTTTAGCTACTCAACAAACCAGAAAATTGCTGTGGACTTAAAGAAAGCCAGATACTTTCTTTACTGAGTGATATAGGTATGTAATCAACATGAAAATGCCATCATAATTTAATGCCCCTTTGGTCTATAAAAGATTCTATATACTACTTGGGAATTAGGAGAATTGTTGATGTACTGTACAAAGCATAGGTTTTTAACTATAAGAAACTTTATAAGAAATTTTTTATCTGTAAGAAATTATTAGAAAAATTTAACTATTACCGTTGATGCTAAGTTAAAATTAGGATATTTTGTTTTTTATTTTTTGTGTTTGGCTAGGTGTCCATTTGACTAATAGATGTTCCAATTGCCAGAAAAAAAAAACGGTGTGAAATGACCTTATTGAGTTGTACTCCTGCTCCCTCCCTGATTAACATAGTAACTTTATTTACCAGGGGCATTGCATCTCATGGGCCCAGGTTCTTTTAGGGTGAAGTCTCTTTTTAATCATAATTACTCCTGCAAAGTTCCTAAAATAACAAGGACGTAGGCCCTTGGAGGAAGTTCAAAAGCCCAGACTATGTTTCTCTGTATATTTTGATTTTGCTTCTTTTCTTAGGTCATGGAGGCAAAAGTCTAGTTGAAGAGGGTGATCTAGGTCGGAAGGAAAGGCTCCAATGATAAATACAGGGATTTTCTCAATTGCTTGTTCCATTTCTTTTTAATATTAATTTTCATAAGTTAAATGAATACATGTTACAATTCTGCAGTATTTGTTACTGTATTTTTTGTGGAGAAAATCTGAGCTTCTATTAAATCATTAATCATGTAGTTATGGTCCATATAAATTCGAGCATCAGAGCAGATCTGTACAAAATGTGAGATGAATTTTTTTTAATTCAGTGTTGTTTATTACCTGAAAATACATTTTAAATTTTATTTAGGATCTGGGATACGATATTTGCATGAAAACAAAATTATACATCGTGATCTAAAACCTGAAAACATAGTTCTTCAGGATGTTGGTGGAAAGGTAGGTAAAACCTGAAGAAATGTTCATGCCAATCGAATAGAGTCTCCATGATGTAGTTTAGTCTTTGAGGTTTGGTGCCCTCCGTAGCATTCTATACTTCATCCCAGCCCTCACTACACTGAAGTGTGGTTTTGTGTTTAGCTGTTTGTCTCCTCTGCTAATACAGTTAGCTCCATTATAGAAGGACTACACCTGTCTTGTTCATTTCTTTTTTCCAGCACAGTATCTAGCAGAGGTAGTAGGCAGTGAGTAAGTAATTTGTTAATCCTTATGAAGCACATCCAAAAAACACACACATCCTTGGTCTGCTTTAAGAAAAAAATATGTTTAAAGTATGTTTCTTATTTAAGAAAAACAAAACAAAACTCTTTCTCCTCCCCAAAAGTCCTAAGTTCTATATTTAATTAAAATTCAAAACCTTGAATTCTCAGATTCCTAAAAGAGTCAGCTTGAGAAGAACCAGAAATTGTGAATTGATTCCTGGAACGTATATTTTTATCAAAGTAATTTGAGCAGTTTTCTTGCCTCTGGTGCCCAAATTCCATTCCAATAAAGACGTAAAGCCAAGAATCTAAACCTTGAATTGGATTGTGTGGCCTTAGTAGTGAAGATAATGATCAGTTGGAGGTGATGAAACCTTGATGATGCATCTTCTCTTAGAAGCTCTTTGTGTATGCTTTGCACCAACTATTTGGGGTTTTTTTGTATCCCGAGACTTCAGGATATTCTTGAAGTTAGATAGGTGTTTACTCACATTGATCCACTCTAAAATGGTATGATGCTTCTTACAAGTTTGGAAGTTGCCTTTGCCTTCCAGTTTTAATGAATCAAGCTTATTCTGAATATACCAAAGTAAAAATTAATAGCCAGTCTATATTTAGTTTTTACCATATGTCAGACACTGTTAAATTATTTTCACTATTTCATTGAATCCTAATAGCAATTCTGTGAAGTAGGGATTGTTAGTAATACCATTACATAGGAAACTGAGAGAAGTTAAGTAACTTCATCAAGATCACATGGCTATTTAAGTGATGGAGCTCAGGCCTGAAACATGTTTGTGTTATTTCAGAGCCCATGCTCTTCACCACCACCCTCTCCAGAGCCTTATAAGGACATCATTGCCTTTCCTTTTCAAATTTCTCAACCATTTAATACTTAACTATTTTGCAGATTATGCATAAAATAATTGATTTAGGATATGCCAAAGATGTTGATCAAGGAAGTCTGTGTACATCTTTTGTGGGAACATTGCAATATCTGGTAAGACATGTATTGTTTCTTTGAATTTAAGTGTACAGGATTCTCATTCTTATTTCTGAAGGTCGTGAATATAATAGTTCAAAACTCATGTAGCTTTTCTCTTACAGTGTTGATGTTTAAAGCATTTTTTCTTTTTAAGGCCCCAGAGCTCTTTGAGAATAAGCCTTACACAGCCACTGTTGATTATTGGAGCTTTGGGACCATGGTGTTTGAGTGTATTGCTGGGTATAGGCCTTTTTTGCATCATCTGCAGCCATTTACCTGGTAAGAAATGGGAGAGAACTTTGGTATGATTAATGGGAATGGAAATTTTCAGTTGCCCACTTCCCCCCCAACCTTTCTTTAAATGGTATAATTGCTTTTTAACACATAATTGGATAAAATTAAAAGGCAAAAATTCTTAGTGTTTGTGAGAATCAGGTTGTCAACTGAGGTAGCTTTTGCTTTTATAGGCATGAGAAGATTAAGAAGAAGGATCCAAAGTGTATATTTGCATGCGAAGAGATGACAGGAGAAGTTCGGTTTAGTAGCCATTTACCTCAACCAAATAGCCTTTGTAGGTATGTATATTTTAGTTGAGGAAGTTTGCCTCAGTTTCTTCAGGGTTTTAAAAGAACAGTAGTAGAGTTGTTGTCTGTTTCAAACAGCATTATCCAGTGGAACTTTCTGTGATGATGGAAATGTTTTATATCTGTGCTGGCCACATGAGTATCTGAATACTTGAAAGGTGGGTGGTATGACTGAAGAACTGAATTTGAAATTTATTTAATTTTAATTAACTTAAGTGTAAATGCAAATAGCCACTTGTGACTAGTGGCCACCATATGGACAGCACAGGTCTAGTGGGAACAAGAACTGCCATTCAACTGATTGGCTTAGGTGCTAAGAACACTCTTGGGATACTGTGGTGAATGGGTTCCTTAGGGAATGGAACTGGATTCACCTGTTGGAGTTGCCGGTAACTTGCATATGTGGGTTTGGGGTTGTTTTTTTATGGAAAAAAGGCTTATCATGTGTCATTTCATGAATTATTTGAAAGTAAGATATAAAATGATGCAAATAATGACAAAGGAAATGGACAACCTGTAAAACTACCTTTTCTTTTTTTACAAAACTAAAAGAAAATTGGAACGTAATGAGTTTTATCCCATTTTTGTATGTTTTCTAGTTTAATAGTAGAACCCATGGAAAACTGGCTACAGTTGATGCTAAACTGGGATCCTCAGCAGAGAGGAGGACCTATTGATCTTACTTTGAAGCAGCCAAGATGTTTTGTATTAATGGATCACATTCTGAATTTGAAGGTTAGTTTGAATGGGGTCTACTTCATAAGACTTGCATTGAAGTTAACAAACTTATTTGGAAAATGGGCACAAATATATTTTAATAATCTTTTCCTGATGCTTATATGAAAAAAGATGATGATATTCTTAGAGTGGATGCATTTTTATTTCTTTAGTAAGCGTTCTCAGTTTTACTTTGAAATGGTCTTGTTGATTATTCCTTTGTAGCATCTTTTGGGTTTTCCCCTTTTTCATATTGGTACCATTTCATTCATTTAGGTCTAATCGTACTAGATTTGGTTTGGTGAGGAAGGTTCCTACCTGGCTTTCATGCCTCTATATTTCCTTTCCATCCTACAGTCCATGCAACATGAACTGCCTGTCTCATCTTCTGAAAATGCTTTTTTATTCTCCTGTCCAGGAAACTTAACAGTTCTTTCTTGCCTACCAAGTCAAGTCTAAACTGATCTGCTTGGCTTTTGGGGGCTTTCTTAATTCAGGTCCACCCCATCCAAGTGCTTGTTTCGTTTCTCTTACCCTTTACTTCACTTAGGACCAGCTTGTCACTGCTCCTTATGCCATCAAGTCCATTATGCATTTTTGTGCTTCGACAGATGCTTCTGCCCAGACTGATACCTATCTCTGTGTATCTCCTCACCTACACTGGCATGTATTCAACTTTCCTTTTCTCTGAATGGTCTCTACTTCACAGTTTGTCATTTAATCATTTTTACTATTATATATTCTCTAATTGTTTCTCATCTTCCACTCATGCCTCTCTCTACAGATTGTCTTTTCAATGCTAGGATTGTTTTTACTACTTTTATTAACAGTTGTCTACCCTACCACCACACCGTCCCTATGCCAGCATTGTGTACAAAGCAGGGCATGTACCAGGTTCTCAGTAAATATCCAGTGATATGAATGAGAGGTTCTATTATGCTGTATACCCCAAAACAACTCTCATCTATGGTCTTTTCATATTTGTTGATTGCTTGTAGCAGGTAGCATTTCTAAAATTGAAATGAGAAAGAACTAGTCATATAACGTTTTACTCTCATGTTGATATACTTTTTTTTTTTTTTTTGTGGTACGCGAGCCTCTCACTGTTGTGGCCTCTCCCGTTGTGGAGCACAGGCTCCGGACGTGCAGGCTCAACGGCCATGGCTCACAGGCCCAGCCACTCTGCGGCACGTGGGATCTCCCCGGACCAGGGCACGAACCCATGTTCCCTGCATCGGCAGGCAGACTCTCAACCACTGTGCCACCAGAGAAGCCCAATATACTTTTTTAAATAGGAACTTGAGGCCATGTTGGTGTCATTCTTGGCTAACATTGAAGAGATATCTGATATCATGATTTGGTTTTCTTCTACTGTGCCAAGGAATAAATCATCCCCCAATGTGTTAGACAAGCAGGACTTGGTGACACTCTTTAGTTCTTTGTTGCCTTCAAAAAATTTCGGTTTTTATCTCAGATTTTTTTTAGCCTTGTCATGGTAATCATAGCATCACTTTTACTTGGAGGGGGTCTGTGAGCATGTGCTTGTTGTAGAGCATGGGGAAAGAGTCCTCCTATGTGTTTTGTGGTCTGTAGGCTTTAGTTCAGTTTGCAACACCACGGTTTGCATACCTGTGAATCTGAGCAAATATATATATATATATATATATATATATAAAATATATATATATACACACATACATTTATAGCTCAGGTACAGTAATGTCTTCTTTAAAAGATCAATATTATTTTGAGGTTGTACAGAATAAGGTATGTGTAGGGTACTATTCATAGTAGTTCAGGGATGCTTCCTAGACGTAATAATAGGACTGAACTTTGAAGGATAAGTAAGTGTTAATCCTGGGAATGGGCAGGAGGAAAGATTTACAGGCAGGGAATGTCATGCACACAGAAGCATGAACTGCAAAACAGGTTGGTATTATTGCAGGGCATTTTTCTGAGGTGTTTATTACATTGTTCAAGGAGGGAATGGCATATTTTTCCAACTGTTTATTATGAAAAACTTTAAGTATGTAGCAAAGTTGAAAAAAGTGTACTGAACATTCTTTGCCACTAAGAGTCTCTCCTTAGCTTTCTCTTCTTCCATATTACTTTTCTTCCTTTTCTTTGGCAGTCTCTCCAGTTGTATAACTTTAACTATAAACTGAGTATGGATAACTTCCAAATTTATCTCCTTAGTTGTGACTATACAACTCTCTGCAGAGTATTTATAACTACACTTGGTGGTCCCACTTATCCAAGACATAATTCATTAAAAACTGAGCACATTTGCTCCGTTAATTACTTCTGCAGCTTTTCCTGTGCCTCTTACTTGCACTGTCACCCTTCCAGTTACCTAGGTCGGAAACTTTGGCTATCTGACTATTCCATGTTCTTCAATTTACATATCCAATTATTTTGTGAGATGTATCTTTTGAATGTTTTAACAATTCTGAACTTGCCAGGTTCTCAATTTAGAAAGCCTTCCATAGTTCCCTTTCAAAGTCCAAACTCTTAACATTGGTATTCAGAATCTATCTTGGTCTCATTTCATCCTGCACTTCCAGGCTTAGCTCCTGTTATGCCCTAAGGGGACATCATTTTAGGTACATTTGAACTGAGTAATTTTTATTCTCTGATTATGCTCATCCCCTTCTACGTCTCTGCCTACCTTGTTGTTTTCTGCCTAGAAGAACCTTTCTTCTTTAATCTTTTCTTGTTCTAATCATTCTTCCTTTTCAAAGTTTAGCTCAAATAGTGCGTCCTTTATAAAGCATCCCTCTCCTCCCACCAAGTAATCTCCTTTGGAATTGGCACAATATTTTACATCATTACAGTACCTATTGCATTTTGCATTGTATTTTAGTTCTTTCAATGTTTCTTTAATATCTTTTATTTGACTGTTATCCTATGGAGGGCAAGGATCAGTAAGTTACTCAATTTGCATACCCATTACTAGTACAACACACTAAATAGTATGTACCATAGTAGGTACTTATCAAATATTTGAGTGAACAAAAAGGTTAATTTAGGTTGTATTTCCTCACGCTTTCTTTTGCTCCCTTCTAGCTCGGCTTTAGTAGTGGGATGCTATGATCACCCCACCCTAGTTTGAAATATACCCTGTATAAAAGTAAATGTCCACCTTAGGATTTTCATACTAAATTTCTGCTATTGTTCTTAGTGGTCACTGTCACAGTGTGAAATCTGCCTAGGCCAGGATGGAATGGAAGATCTCAGCTGGTATGCTTGTACTGTAATCCATGTCAACTTGGAAGATTACCTTCTCTTCCCCCCACCTTTTTTAAACTTAGAAGGTTATTGTATATTAAAAGAAAATTAGTGCTTTACTTCTGTAATAAACGTTTCTAGCAGAGATAGTTTTAATCATTTGTATACACTGGTCAATATAAGGCGTTGGGGAAACATAGGTATTAACTTTGTATGGCTTATCTAAGGACAGTAGAAGGAAAAGGATTTAAAATTACGTTGTGTTCAAAAGACTGACCTCTAACTCTGTGGCTGTCCTTGGTTACCGGGGTAGAGCCCCACCTAACTCAGTCTCACACTTACTTGGCCTATATCAGGCTACTTTCATTGGGGCTTTAGGCAAGAAGTTCTCAGAGCTCTGGTTTCTGTCTTTGCCAAAATGGAGATTAGAAGATCTAATTAATAAGATGTTATGTGAAAGCACTTAACTTGTTGGCATCTATTAGGCAATTCATAAACATTTCCTTCCAGGTCAGTGATATATTTCTCAAAATAAGTGTTACCTTTTTATTTATTTATTTATTTATTGAATTTTTGAATTTTATTTTATTTATTTATTTTTTTATACAGCAGGTTCTTACTAGTTATCTATTTTATACATATTAGTGTATATATGTCAATCCCAATCTCCCAATTGATCCCACCGCCACTACCCCTCCCCGCCACTTTCCCCCTTGGTGTCCATACGTTTGTCCTCTACATCTGTGTCTCTATTTCTGCCCTGCAAACCAGTTCATCTGTACCATTTTTCTATAAGTGTTACCTTTTTAAATTGGGGGTTTTATTTCTTGATTTTGTACATCCCTAGAACTTTGAAACTTTATTCTTTGGAACTAACATCTGTTGCAGTAGAAAGGTAAACTCTATCTTCAGTTTTCAGACTGTCATTCTATAATTATAGAAGGAGATCTCACTTTGGAAAAGGAATGAACCTTGTTTAATGCAGAGATAATGCCTTTTGCTTAAATTCTCTTTAGTATCTAGCACTGAATCTTTTATGTAGCAAACGATCAATACTTATTTCTCTTTTTTCTTATTTAAACAGATAGTACACATCCTAAATATGACTTCTGCAAAGATCATTTCTTTTCTGTTACCACCTGATGAAAGTCTTCATTCACTACAGTCTCGTATTGAGCGTGAAACTGGAATAAATACTTGTTCTCAAGAGCTTCTTTCAGAGACGGGAATTTCTTTGGATCCTCGGAAACCAGCCTCTCAGTGTGTTTTGGATGGAGTTGTAAGACAATTCTAATATACCTAGAGTATAAGAAGTCACAGAGAGATTGCATGCCCTGCGTTTTTGATGTATACTTGGAATCCTTTGGGGGATGGTCCACATCTTAGAATTCTTCTTTTAGTTTTATCCTACTCATTACGCTTATTGCTTTGCAAGGTGAAAAGGTAGAAAGGAAACATTTGTTGTTTTGAACTATGCATGACTTTCTCTTTGGTGCCACTTCCCTCCTCCCTTTTTTTTTCCCCCTTTTTTTTTTGTTTTGTTTTGTTTTTTTTGCGGTACACGGGCCCCTCAGTGTTGTGGCCTCTCCCGTTGCGGAGCACAGGCTCCGGACGCGCAGGCTCAGCGGCCGTGGCTCATGGTCCCAGCCGCTCCGCGGCATGTGGGATCTTCCCGGAGCGGGGCACGAACTCGCGTCCCCTGCATCGGCAGGCGGACTCTCAACCACTGCGCCACCAGGGAAGCCCTTTTTTCCCCTTTTTGTACTAAAGCCTAGAACCTTCAAATTAGACCAGCAGTCTCATAGGTCCTGTCAGAGGATAGATGGATGGTAAAATATGATTTTGGTCATGACTTTTTTTTTTTTTTTTTTTTTTTTTTTTGTGGTATGCGGGCCTCTCCTGTTGCAGAGCACAGGCTCCGGACGTGGAGGCTCAGCGGCCATGGCTCACGGGCCCAGCCGCTCCGCAACATGTGGGATCTTCCCGGACTGGGGCACGAACCCGTGTCCCCTGCATCGGCAGGCGGACTCCCAACCACTGCGCCACCAGGGAAGCCCTCATTGACTGTTAATATCCATTCTGTCCACCCCAGAAAAATCACTAATTTACTTTCTACCTTTATAGATTTGCCTTTTCTGAACATTCCATATAAATGGAAACATATAATCTATAATCTCTTGTGTCTGATTTCTTTCATACTGTTATATTTTTGAGATTCATTCATGTCATAGCATATATCATTACTTTATTCCTTTTGATTGCTGAATAGTGTTCCCATTCTATGGATATTGTTGTTATGACTTTTTGCTTTATTTTTCCTAAACAGAAGTTTAGACCTTAAATCTGTGAGATGTATGCTAATGAAACTGACTTCACCATTGGCATTTCAAAGTAGGAAATCTGGTGCTTAGGTACTCAGAGAACCTAGGATTTTCAAGGATCTTTTTTCTTAATTGTTTGTTTCTCTTTCAGAGGGGCTGTGATAGCTATATGGTTTATTTGTTTGATAAAAGTAAGACTGTATATGAAGGACCATTTGCTTCCAGAAGTTTATCTGACTGTGTAAATTATATTGGTAAGTATAGTTCATTTACTGACTGAGCTTTAAATCTGAAATAATATAATTTTGACTCAAAATGACTAGTAGAAATAGTCCTTTGGTGTTTCTGTTCTGTGTCTCATGCTTCAGGTTTCTATATGTGGCGAAAGATGGGTTTGTATGGTTTGAAAGGTGAAGAGGTAGATTTTAAATCACCACCAGATCCCTCATTTGGGAGAAGACTTACTTTCCTGTGGATAGGGTTCTCACATATAAAAAAATGAATCTTCACTATTAATTAAACCCACTTTTTAGTTTCTCCTTCATTATTTAAGCGTGTTCAAATACTTCATTTTATCCTATGAATACTGCTTAACATTCAAATGATTTCATTTATCCTGAGAGAATTATTTTCTTTTGAAGAAGTTAAGTGATCAATTTCTGTCTACCCAAAACTAAAAACAAGCACAAAATTATAAAATCAAGAACAAAATTGGGCATAAGGGCTGAAATTATATAATCCTTCCTTTTCATTAGTTTTTTTTTAAAGCAGTTCTAGATTTATAGAAAAATTGAGCAGATAGTATAGAATTCTTATGTTACTCCCCTCCCCCACAGATATAGCTTCCCCTATTGTTAACAACTTAAACATTAGTATGATGCTTTTGTTACGATTAATGAACCAATATATTATTATTAACTGAAGTTCATACTTTATTCAGATTTCTTTTAGTTTTTAATCTGATGTCCCTTTTCTGTTCCAGAATCCCATCCAGGATACCACATTACATTTAGTTGTCATGTCTCCTTAGGCTCTTCTTGGTTGTGATAGTTTCTCAGATTTTCCTTGTTTTTGATGACCTTGAAAGTACTGGTCAAATATTTTGTAGGATGCCCCACTGTTGCAATTTATCTGATATTTTTTCTCATGAGTAGGAAAATGGATTTTTGAGAGAAAGATCACAGAATTCAAGTGCTGTTTTCTTCACATTATGTAAAGGGTACATACTGTCAACATGATTAATGACTGTTAGTATTGGCCTTGCTTACCTGGCTGAAGTAGTGTTTGTCAGCTTTCTCTACTGTAAAGTTTAGTCTTTCCCCCCCATTCCACACTGTACTCTGTGGAAGGAAATCATTATGCAAGAACCCACACTTAAGGAGTGGGAGTTATGCTCCCCCTCCTTTAGGGTAGAGTATCTACATAATTTATTTGGAATTCTTTTGCACACAAGATTTATCTCTTTTTTCCCATTTATTAATTTATTCAATTATTTATTATATCAATTTGAATTCATGGATATTTACTTTATATTATGGATTATAATCCAATACTAGTTTATTTATTTTGTTGTTCAAATTGTTGGAGCTTACATTAGGAGCTCTTTCAGTTGGCTTCCTGTGCCCCTTTTACTTACTCCATCAATAAGGGTGTTTCAGTTTTTGGTTTTTTAAGCACTTCCTTACTTTCTGGCACCACAAGGTATTCCAGGACCATCTTTTAAATTTCCTGCCCTAGTCCTAGAATCGGCCATTTCTCCAAGGGGCCCTGGTTCCTTTCATTTTAATTGAGAATAGTATTAGAAACCAAAATCTGGATACTTGGCATGATACTTGGGGTATCATTTCTAGGCCTTTTCAGACTTTATTTTTGACAGTATATGATTTTTTTTCCAGGCTCTCCTCACCCAGACTCTTTTTTTAAAGGTGTGGGTTTGGTTTTGTTTTGTTTGTTTGGTCTGTTATAGGAAGCCTCAGGAGTAAGTGTGGGTATATAAAAACAGAAGAAAAGTTATTTGAGGCTATTAATCATTATTAGAGGAGGCAAAGATTTTTCCAAATACACAGCTTTATTTTTTTGAAGTCTGTTTCAGATAATGTGTTTTCTCAATATGAAATCCAGTGTAGTGACCTTTCTCTGAAGATTTTCATTGGAAAAGAATGACAGAGAATATAATTGCCACCTTAAGTATGAGATGAATCTCTCTTCAATCTTGGAGAATTTTATAATGTTAAAATGGAATTTCACTGAACTTAATATATATACCTGCCATGGTCTTAGAAAGAAGCATTCCCTTTACCAAAGAAAAGACAAGAGATAATCATAAGTAGATAATTTCATAAGTCTTACATTGAGGAAGGCATTTCTTATTAAGCTGCTATTTACCCTGTAATCATATACTGTAAAAAATAAAGTTTTTCTGAAGCTGGGTTGGTAGTCCAGGAGATGAAATTTGTTATTCAGAAGCAGAAAAGACTGTGGCAGATTGTGGAGGATGTGGGACTTGATTTAGATCTTCAGAGAAATAAAGAATTTGAATTAGTGGAGAGGAAAAAAGAGTATTCCAAGTTGGAGAGAAGCAAGGAAAAAAAAGACTGGAATAATTGTAAGCTTTGCGATTATGTAGTAATTATGTCTTCTTCATTTTTATTTCCCCTTGTATCTGGAGGGTTCATGTTAGGTGTACAGGTGCTCGGTAAATGTACATTGACTGAATGAAACAGTAACAAGTGGTTCTTTCTAGCATCTGTTTCTAGTATCTATGGGAATGCTATTTGTGTGGACAGGAAATCACAAAGAATAGTAAATGAACTCTAGAATCTTAAAAAGTAACTCCCCTCTTCTTTTCCCCAACTTCTTACACATAGTACAGGACAGCAAAATACAGCTTCCAATTATACAGCTGCGTAAAGTATGGGCCGAAGCAGTGCACTATGTGTCTGGGCTAAAAGAAGACTACAGCAGGCTCTTTCAGGGACAGAGAGCAGCAATGTAAGTGGATTCTCTTGTTTATTTACACGCACAATGTCATGTGCATTAATGCTCAAGAATTAATTTTGCCAGTTCTCACTAGTCAATATCCCATGCAATACTATATACTGGGCCAATTTGAAATGTAATATTCTGATCAGACTTGTAGAATTCTTACTAATGGTCTGAAACCATCTAGTTGCAAAAGCTTGACAGTAGTTCCTGAACAGTCCTAGTATAAGAAGATTGTTTTATCAGAGTATCATGGGCAGGAAGTCTTTAGAGACCAGATTCTAGAGATCAGCTGTTTCTCATAGAAACATAGGCTTTAGGCTTATGGATTTGAGTCTTTAAACTTTTGTCTGGTGTTTCTGAAATGCTTATATCTTTTTTTTTTCTTGCTCTGGTTTAGGTTAAGTCTTCTTAGATATAATGCTAACTTGACAAAAATGAAGAACACTTTAATCTCAGCATCTCAGCAACTGAAAGCTAAATTGGAGTTTTTTCACAAAAGCATTCAGCTTGACTTGGAAAGATACAGTGAGCAGATGACTTATGGGATATGTAAGTGTTGGGTAATGTATTTGAAAGAAGTGTCTAGTCTCTTAAAGCCATTTGCTATGTTGCCTTCTTCTTAGCCAGTTGTTTCACTTACATTCATACTAAAACAAGAGAGAGGACATCTCAGATCATCATAAACCCTGTTTGGTTTGAATGTTAGTTGTTTTTTTTTTTTTTTAACCTTTAGTTGAGCAACTTTATTTCCCCCCTGCCCTCCCTCCCCACCTCCCGTCCCCACCACCACCACCACCACCACCACAGTTGGGCTAAAATTGTTCAGCTTCAGAAAAATACAAAAATGATTTAAGAATTTGCAATTGTCAAACCTCATTTAGAAAATAGATACAAAGTCTGTATTGGGGTGACTTCATAGCCTGGGAAGTCTTAAACTACTTATCTTTCTATAAATAATAACACAAATAATTCCAGAGTTTTTGTTTCCCCCAAACCACCTGCCGTGGAGTCCCACTGTTTTTTATTGTATGCAGCCTCCAGTTTTTCAGTATTTCACTCCAAGTTTATCTCCCTTCAGATGTACTAAGGAAATGTGAAAAGCAGAGTTAAAATTCAAATAATAAACCAAAAGGGTCACCTTCAGCATTTCTATTTTCTTTCATGAAACAAATCTTTTTTTGGGAAATAAATCTGGTTTGTATATTTATCTTGAGCAAGGCATGTGTATTTCAGAATAAATGATCAGCAGTGTCTAGTTGGATAAATAAGTTTACCTACTAAAGCAGGTTCTATGATTGATGTTTTATTTCTATTTGTATATTATAGGCATTCTGATGAATGGCAAAACATTATAATTCTTTTATCAAATTATCTTTGACTTGTCAGTTGTATATCTTATACTGCTGTTTAAAAAGAGTGATGTAGCCCTATGTGTGCTGATGTTAAAAGATCACTTAGGTCTTTAACGGCAGCAATGTTTTAAGTTGGGGAAAAAAGCAAAGAAGGAAAAGTATATAGAGATGGTCCCATTTGTGAGAGAAAAGGATATGTGTCTATGTTAGAAATGACTAACAAAGGGATCCCTGAGGGTGGAGGATGGATGGGAAGAGAGAGACTTTTCTTTTTATACCCCAATATAGTATTTGATTTTTTAAGAAGATCATGTTCATGTATTACTTTTAAAATGTTCTTTCTTTTTTTTTTTTTAAAGAGAAAATCATCTGTGTTGGCTTCCTAGGGTTGCCATAACAAATTGCTATAAACTGCGTGGCTTAAAACAACAGAAATTTATCATTTCACAGTTTCAGAGGCTTGAAGTCCAGAATCAATGTGTTGGCAGGGCTGTGCTCTCTCTGAAACCTGTGGAGAAGAATCCTTCCTTGATTCTTCCTAGTTTCTGATGGTTTGCCAGCAATCCTTGGCGTTCCTTGTCTTGCAGCTGTAGCACTTAAATCTCTGCCTCTGTTGTCAAATGGAGCTTTCCCTTCATGTGTCTGTGTCTGTGTCTCTTCTCCTCTTCTTCTAAGGACACTAGTCATACTGGATTGAGTCCATCTTAATTTAGCTAATTGCATCTGCAGTGACTCTATTTCCAAATAAGGTCAAATTCTGAGGTACTGAGTTAGGACTTCAGCTATCTTTTGGGGGGGACAATTCAACTCATAACTCTGTTTTTGATGTTGATATGGCAAGGAGATGGGTAGGTCAGTAATTAAAGCTATGGCTGTTTCTGAGATAACCAATTAAGACTTTTTTTTTAGCCTCAGAAAAAATGTTAAAAGCATGGAAAGAAATGGAAGAAAAGGCTATCCACTATGCTGAGGTAAAATCATTGAGCTCACTTTGTGTGCTTATTAATTCCTGAGGTCTTCCTTAGAAACTGTAGAGTATTTTTCATGTCATTCCTGAATATCAGCTAAATATCTAGTCGATACTTTGTATATATAGAGGGAAGTACCATAGTGGATGAAAACCAAGGCTTTGGGCAAAAGAGACTAAATTGAAGTCGCACTGAGCTTCAGTTTCCATATGATACTATAGAGACTGTACCTTTTTTTAATAGGGTTATACAGATTAAATGGGAGTGAATAACAGATGGTAGTTATCACTGTTATTTTTATGACTGGTTTAGATAGGATGGCTGGACATCCTGGTTTACCTGGGACAGTTTCAGTTTATACCTGTCTTGCCATAATTATCAATAATACTCTCAAAATTATGCTAGTTTGGACAATAAATTATATGGTCACACTAGGTATAAATCATTCTCTAGGTGGCAGATTCCTTCCTTACCCAGTACATCTGTCTGTGGTCCCACTAAGTTGTTGCTCTTCTTGATGCCAGCACTTCCCTGAGGACATGGGTGGGGCAGTTGGTATCCTGGGTTGGGGAATCCCATGTCTTTATCTTTCTGCATCCTTATTCAAGGCAGTTGGGAACAAGAGGCAATGAAAATCATAGAACTGAGATGCAGTGGTTTTGATGGCCACTTTTTCTTGTTAGTGACACTTCTATCTTTTTGCTTCTCAAGAGGAAAAAGAAAATGCTAGTAGTCTACTGTTGTCAGGAGAGAAAAGAGAGAAGCCTAGGAATAAGTTGGTGCTCATGTGAAAATTACATGTCATAATTACATGACATGTTATTACATGTCATAATCCGAAAATTACATGTCATAAAAAGGCTTCACCAAAATCAGTGTTTTACATTAAATCACTTAGTTCTGTTACTGCAGCAAGTCATTCTCTGAGTTCTTTGTGTTGTGTGGTGGTGAGCCTGTCATTTCTTTTGTGTTTCATCATATTTTAGGTGGGTGTCATTGGATACCTGGAGGATCAGATCATGTCCCTGCACACTGAAATCATGGAGCTACAGAAGAGCCCCTATGGACGACGTCAGGGAGACTTGATGGAATCTCTGTAAGGGTGAACTCATGTTGTTGGTGTTGGTGTCTGTAATTTTTGGTAGCAGATTATTCGTTCTTTGTATTTCTGGCAGATTAAGTCTATATGTGATTCTTTTCTACAGTTTTCCTTTCCCCAAATATATTGGCATCATATTTAAAAAGGAAGTTCTTTCTTAGTCACAGGAAATTTTGGAAATAACTCTTTGGGTTGACCTTTGCTTTTTAAATCGAAGCATCTTTTCATATGAGTGTTAAGAAATTTTCAAGTATTCTAAATTACAAACTATTTCCCTATTTACCATACTTCTGGTTCAAGGAAGATATTGTCTATTACATTCCCTAAATAAGGTTAACCTCCTAAGTGTTTTGATTAGAAACTTGAGATTTTTTTCTCTAATCACAGGTCATAATTTTTTCCCATTTAAGTGTTTCTGGTGCAAGGATATTATATATGTGATAGTAGATCAGAGCAGATATGAAGTATTAATATATTAAACTTTGCATCTTAAAATCTTGCTTATTACCCAGTGAAATGCTCTGTAAAATATTCATTGGCAATATGTACTTGCTTTAAAATGAGATCATTACTCTATTCAAATAATGTTGTTCATTTCAAGTTGGAGATTATTAAAGTCATTAAACTATCTTCACATATAGAACCTTTTTTTTTCTTTCATAGGGAACAGCGTGCCATTGATCTATATAAGCAGTTAAAGCACAGACCTTCAGGTAAGACAATTTTTCACAGTACACAAAGGCATTTTAGGAAACCATCACTAGCAAATCTAGGAGACTGGATTTTAAATAAGCTGCAGAATAAATTCCAGTTTTGGTATTGCCATTGAGATGTTTATGGTACAACAGCTTTTAAGTTTGTGAGAATTTAAGAAATTAGGAAGGCAAAGTAAGAAAATTGAAAGAGAAAAAACTTTAAAAGGAAGTGAAAGAAAGGAATGAAAGAGAAAAAAGGAACTCAAAGAAGGGAAAGAGGAAGCAAGAAAATGTGTGGAAAGACGGGAAAAAATAAGTGCTGCTTAAAATTAAAGAGATTGGAAAGAATTTGATACTGTGGGTTCAGGTGTGGAATGGGCAGAGGGATGCCCATGTGCTAGGCCAAAGCATTTACTTTGAAAATGATGCCTTCATCTGCATGTGGTCGCTGATTGCTTATTTCATTGGCAAAACAATTCTGTTGAACATCTGCTGAATACAGAGCATGTTCTGCTGGAAAGAGCACTGGATTGAGAATCGGAAGGCTTGAATTCTAGATAGGGCACTTTACTGACCAAGTGACCTCAGGCAAATAACCTTTTCTCCCTGTATCTCATTTCCCTCTTCTGCAAAATGGGGTTGAAACCTAGCTTTCCTAACTCAGTGACTGTATGTGGCAATGTATTTGAGAGGATGTTTGTGAAAGTGCTTTGAAAACTATAAAGTATTATGTATGTGCAAGATATTATCCTTCAGTTAAAAACTGATTTGTTTTGAAGGGTTATAGAAGAAATAAAAGGTGAAGTCTGTGCCCTAATTTGCTATATACTGAAATTTAAAAAAAACAAACAAAACCCATAAGTTTTACACCTTAAAATTTACAAACACATGCAAATTAATATACATCTTAAATTGTATTTAACAAATATCAAAATTTCCTCTATGTTGGTTTTTATTGTAGTGGAATTTGTTCAGTTAATTTCTACATTTATGAGGTACTATACAATAGGCATCTAACCCTGACTGGAGGTCAGGGTTGGTTAGAGGAGGTTTCCTGCAGGAGATGATATCTGAGATGAGCCTTAAAGGATAAGTAGCAGTAGCTCGGTGAAAGGAGGTAGGCTCTTGCATATATAAGTATAATGGGTAAAGACATATACATGTAACAGCATGTTTGAGGAGATGCAGCGTGACTGGATTGTAGTTTCAGAAGTAGAGATGTGGCTGGATAATAAAGGATTTGGTATGTCATAGTAACGATTTTGGATTTCATCATGTTGGCAAAGAGAAACCCTAAAAAGTTTTAAGCAGGGGAATGACATGATCAGATTAGCATTTTAGAAATACTGCTCTGGTAGCATTGTGGATAATGGATTAAAGGGAGGCTGTGCTAGAGATGCTTATTAGTTATAAGGTTGTTGAAGTAATCATGGCTCAGGATAAGGCGGGTCATTAGCTAAGGCAAAGAGCCTGAACTGTGGCAGTGGGGTGAAGAGGAGGAGGGTAAGGGCAAGAGAGAGATTTAGGAGGTAGAACTGATAGTATTGGGTGATGGATTTAATATGGGTGGTAGGAGATGGGGTAGAGAATCATGGATGCCTGCCAAGTTTCTGGCTAGAGCAGCTGGGTGCATGGTAGGACCACTCACCATAATAGGAAGTATAGGAAAATGACAGACTTAATGGGAAAAGAACATGAGTTCATTTTTGTACATGTTGATGTTAGGGTGTCAGTGAGACATTCAAATAGAGATGTCTAGTAGTATTATATATGTATGTATGTATATATGTATGTATGTATATATGCATGTATATATGAACACACATACATATACATGCATACACACACACACACACACACAGAGACGTGTACATATATATATGGATTTAGTAGAGAAGTCCAGGCTAGGTATTTAGCTATTTTGAGAGTAATCAGCCATAGGAATAAAGTGATCATCTTGAAAAAGTATGTTGAATAAGAAAACCAAGGATGGAATCATAGGGAATACCAACATTCAAGAAATGGCTAGAAGCAGAAGAGCCTACAAATATTGAGAAATGGCTCAAATATGTAGCAGGAATGATATTGGAATAGGACAGAGAGAGTTTCAAGAAGAAAGTGATCAGTAGGGTGAAATGCTACAGAGATGTGGGTAATAAAAATGATAATGAAAATATTCACTGGACTTAGTAGTTTGGATATCATTGGTGATCCTGGTAAAATAATGGCCTTTTGGGAACAGAAACCAGATTGTAGTTGGCTGAGGAGGGAGCGGGACAGGAGGGAATGGAGAAGTCAGTCTAGATCAGCAATTCTCAAAGTGTGGCTCATGAACCCCTGAGGATTCCTGAAACCTTTTCAGAGGAGTCAGTGAGGTCAAAACTGTTTTCATAATACTAGGATGTTATTTGCCTTTTTTACTATGTTGACATTTTCACTGATGCTGCAAAAGCATTGGTGGGTAAACAGCTTGCACCTTGCTTAGCATGAATGAAGGCATGAGCACCAAAGTATGCTAGTAGTCATTGATTTTCACTAACATGCATTCATAGTTTAAAAAAAATACCAGTTTTATTTAAGAGTGTCCTTGGTAAAGCAGTAAAATTTCTATTTAAATCTCAACCCTTGAGTATATGTCTTTTTAATATTCTGTGTGATAAAATGGGAAGTATTCATAAAGTGCTTCTGCTACATACTGAGGTATGATGGTTGTCTTAAGGAAAACCACTTCAGTGGTTGTTTACATTGCTGTTGACCAGCCTCTTCTTTAATGGAACACCATTTTTACTTGGAACAATGACTGCCAGAAAAACTACGGTTATTCAGATTTGGTTATGAGGCAGATATTTTCTAAAAATTAATGGATCATACCTATCACTTGAAGGAAAAAAGCCAACAGTATTGTCAGTGATAAAATTCCATGTTTCCAGCAAAAAATTAAAATGTAGGAAAATGTCTATCCATCAGCTGAAATTTGTCAGCTTCCCAATACTTAAATGCTTTTCTGATAAGATTGGTGGTGATATTAAAAAGATTTGCAAAAATTTAAAACAATGCCAATGCTCTCACTAAATTTTGAGGGGGAAATACAGTTATTTTGAATACAAATGTATTAATAGGTGAGTTTATTGTTATTTTTAAATGAATAAATTAATATTTTTGTATTTCTCAGTTTAATTCCTGAAGAACACTTTGGAGTTGTTAAGAATTTTTGAGTGTAGGTGTCCTGAGACCAGTAAGTTTGAGAACTGGTTATCTAGGCTATTCTTTCCAGAAGCTTGGCTGTTAAGGAAAGAAGAGAGGTGAGCAGCTAGGAGGAGATGAAGAATCAAGGGAGGTCAGTTTTCAGAAGAAAGACTTGAGCTTATTTATGTGCTTGGGGCCAAAAGCCTGTGGAGAGGGAAGTCTCTGAACAAGTTTGAGAGGCTGACTCCAGAGAATAGTAGGAGGTGTTGGGCTTGTTGCCACTGATAATTGCCGGGGGGGGGGATGTGTGTGGATACAGACACTTATGTGGGTATAGGGGTTGGAAGGTGAGGATCTTACTGCTTTATGTCCTCCTATCCCGAAGTAAGAAGTGGGTTTATCTGTAATTGAAGAGGTGTGACGTCGTAGATTTAAGGAGTATGCTAAAGATTTTTGAAAGCTGGTGTGTGCAATGGCAGATGTTGCTGATCCAAGACATTTATTAAGAATCCAGAGCAGGGCTTCCCTGGTGGCGCAGTGGTTGAGAGTCCGCCTGCCGATGCAGGGGACACGGGTTCGTGCCCCGGTCCGGGAAGATCCCACATCCCGTGGAGCGGCTGGGCCCGTGAGCCATGGCCACTGAGCCTGCGCGTCCGGAGCCTGTGCTCCGCAATGGGAGAGGCCACAACAGTGAGAGGCCCGCATACCGCAAAAAAAAAAAGAATCCAGAGCAGAAGTGAAACCCTGTGAATTAGTAGTTACAACAGAGAGAATGATAGTACAATTTTTTTGTTGGTAGTGGTTAGTAGCTTGGATACAGAAACTGATAGAGCAGGTGGTTAGACTGATGTAGGGTTAGGATCTTGCTGACAAGAGGACAGAAAAGTTGAAGATATTGACAAAAAAGTGATGTAAGTGATAAAGTTGTGGTTAGAGTAAAATATTGAAATTTAAGATTTCAAATAGAGCAAGGCTAATTTTTTTTTTCTTTAATCGATATTCATTACTCTCTTCTGGCCAATGAATCAGATTTTGCAGATGAAGGTATATAAAATTCCATCCATTGACTCAGTGGATTAACTTTCCACAGTCATTGATAACATTTGTTTGGATTATTTTTATAAAAACTTTGCAGTAGCCATGCATATCAGCATATCACAGGGCCTAGAAATAAACTTGCTATCCAGATAGCTTCTTTGAACTGATAGTCACCTTGAGTGACAAACTAGTTGTGACAAGAAGTTTTGTCTATTGTTGGGGCTTATGTAATCACACTTGAGGTATAGTTTTTGGTGTCTTTTCCAGTTTAGAGTTGCCTTGAGACTTTTGTTCAGCTGAAAATGGTGAAAACCAACTTTCTTCATTCTTTATGTTGGAGTAGCTTAAAGTTCTAAGGTCTTTGACCATCTAAAAGAGCTAGTTATATGGGAAAGCTGTTGGGCCTAGCCCGTGGGATTTATGAAGAAGTGCTGTTTGGAGAGGAGCCTTTTTGGAGTCTCTGTATCTGGTTGTTGTTGAGGGAGAGACAAAGAAAAAGATGTGTGGGGAATCAAGTTGAGTGCTAGGCGAAGTCTTTGCAGTGCTAACAAAGGACAACTTTTTTTAAACCTCTTTCGATACTCCATTCATAGTAAAATGTGGGTAACAACAGTAGCCATCTCACAGGACTCCTGTGAGGGTTAAATGAGAAAATTTTAAGTAGAGAATAGCAAATAATAATAATAATAGTTTTGCATTTGAGACTAATTATTGTCCGGGGAAATACCAGCATGATCCATGAGCAACCTTCCAATGTTTTAAAATTTAAATAACCATTTTCTGAAATATTACAATTAATTGTAGTTGTTTGTTTGTTTTTTAAATGAGATGGCATCTACAACGGTAGAACCTACTCACTGTGACCACACAGCCATCCCATTTGAGGACATTTGTCAACTGCCAGTTTGCTTTAAGATTTCATACTACCCTCAAACTGAATTTTCAAGGTGTCTACAGGTCCTTTTATTAGTGCATCAGATTTGGCTTAAGTTGGTCAGCTTTTTTCAACGTTTTCATGGGTATAAACAGATGGATAAACATGAAATTCCAAGCAAGCCTAGCTGGGATTCCTTCCTTTAAGTCAGTGAAAGTTTGATCAATTGTCTTACTGCTTCTAAACAAATTATGTTAATCATCCAAGAAAAAATGATCTCTTGTCCAGAAAAGCTGCATATGTGTCTGGGGCTCGGGTTAGTATGGGTTAAGGTAGCCAAGATGATTCTTCTTATAACTGAAGATACAGTGATAAATCTATATATACATTATATACACACAAACACACAGACTTCATTTTTAGTTATATGATTATTTATAGATATATAATCTTAAAATCTTTTATCTTAATTTAGCTTTGAAATTAAATGGAGATGTTAATTAAAACTAGTTTCAGATTTTTAGGAATTTTTTGTTTGGAGGCTGATATGTTCACGCAGAAGAGAGGTTATACCTACTGACTGAGATCTTTTATAGATCACTCCTACAGCGACAGCACGGAGATGGTGAAAATCATTGTGCATACTGTGCAGAGTCAGGATCGGGTTCTCAAGGAGCTGTTCGGTCATTTGAGGTAGAAATATTGTTTTCCTTACTGTTGAAAAGCCAGGATACTTTTATCATGTTCCTTTCAAAGTGTAATACCCTTTTCTGGTAAATATACTAGAACCAGGAAGAGTACTGGCAGTACGTTGGGAACCCTGACCACAGCTGCATGCATTTATGTGTCCTGTTTGTGTGCATTGCTTTGCAGATCAGTCATTAAATCTATGCTGATTGTGATTCATTCCCCCAGCTGGGTTTGGGAGTATGGGGTACAGTCTTGGGGGATGTATAAATGTCTGACACAGATTTTACCTCTCCAGCAAGTTGTTGGGCTGTAAGCAGAAGATTATTGATCTACTGCCCAAGGTGGAAATGGCCCTCAGTAACATCAAAGAAGCTGACAATACTGTCATGTTTATGCAGGGAAAGAGGCAGAAAGAAATATGGCATCTCCTTAAAATTGCCTGTGTAAGTAATTTTTAATGAATTATGTAATATGACATTGATTTGCTGTTACTCCCTGCAAAAGGGATTTTTATCAGCATGATCTGTGTCCTCTTAAAGACATGTGTATTTTTTTTTTTACATCTTTATTGGAGTATAATTGCTTTACAATGGTGTGTTAGTTTCTGCTTTATAACAAAGTGAATCAGTTATACATATACATATGTTCCCATATCTCTTCCCTCTTGCGTCTCCCTCCCTCCCCCTCCCTATCCCACCCCGCCAGGCGGTCACAGAGCACGGAGCTGATCTCCCTGTGCTATGCAGCTGCTTCCCACTAGCTATCTACCTTATGTTTGGTAGTGTATATATGTCCATGCCTCTTCCTCGCTTTGTCACAGCTTACCCTTCCCCCTCCCCATATCCTCAAGTCCATTCTCTAGTAGGTCTGTGTCTTTATTCCTGTCTTACCCCTAGGTTCTTCATGACCCTTTTTTTTTTTTTCTTAAATTCCATATATAAGGACATGTGTATTCCTATATAAGGACATGTGTATTAAATTCCATATATAAGGACATGAGTGTTGATGCTCATGTTCTTTGCTTGGTGTCTCCCTAGCAATTCTGATACAGGACTTCATGATCATCTTTCATTCTCTCTCTCCTTTCCGGTTTCCTGTTTTTATACTCCTCTCAACCCTAGACCACTGTGGTATCCCAACCCAATTTGGGGGTAGCTGTGCCTGACTAGATTAAAAAAACCAGTCCTTTGTTCAACTGGAGATTTTTTTTTCCAACTAAAGTAGAATAGAAGGATAGATACATTTAGTTTTAGTCAATGAAGAAAGGGGTCAAGGACAGGATAGTTAGTAGGGGTGTGTAAGAGTAGAGATAAATTTATACAGAAATAGTCTGGTTATGCATAAAAGTAGTGATAGAAATGTTAAGTCTTAGGAATATGAATGTGTGGAGGTGCTTGCCTGTAATCTTTTTTTTTTTTTTTTTTTTTCCCTTCAGACACAGAGCTCTGCTCGGTCCCTTGTAGGATCCAGTCTAGAAGGTGTAACCCCTCAGGCATCAGCATGGCTGCCCACAACTTCAGCAGAACGTGAACATCCTCTGTCATGCGTGGTAACTCCTCAAGATGGGTGGGTTCACTTTGTTAAAATAGATAGTTGTATTTTCAAGAGCAGTGGTAGGAATGAGGCAGTAGAGTGCAGTGGTTAAGACATATTCTTCACTGCCTTATAGACCAGGATTGAATCCTGATTGTCTCTTTGTAATAACCTTATACAGTTAACTTGACTCTTTTAATGTTCACATTTCCTTACCTGTAAAATGGGAAGTGTTGTGAAAATTCAGCTAGACAGTGTATATAAAATGCTTGGGAAGTGAATCTTCAGCAAATGTTACTTCTTATTAGCTCAGTCCAGGTTCTAAGTTCTTTATCTGTTATTGGCTTATCAAATCTTTTAGCCAAACTATATTCCTCACTAAACCATTTATCTCTGAGAAATTATGCTATCTTTTTGAAGTTATTATTTTAGGGCCCTTGATCAACCCTCTAATGGAATTGAGTTTAATCTACTCATTTTATAACTTAGTATTTCTAAAATGACTTTTTTCAGTGCCTTAAATCATTTTTGCAAATAACTCGTTTGAAGTCCTATATTTTCTTTTAATTCCTACTCTTCTGCTAAAAGCTGAATGACTATCCATTTCTGTTATTTTTCTCAGCATAAGATGTGCCGTATCCAGAGCCATTGGCTCTTTGCTAGCTTGTGTATTGTCACTTTTCTCACAACTCATGGAGACCTCTACAATACCAGCATTTCCTGGAAGCTCTGCCCATAATTAGTTTTGCAGAGGTGCAGCCATGTAACATCACTGCTCAGGAGGTCATGCAGTTGCACATTCTGTACTCTGCTTTTATGAGAGAAAAGCACATGGCAGGAAGGCAAGCTGATACCAGGTATTTTATCTTCTTAAAGAAAGCAAGCTCCAGGGTATATCTCGGGGCCATTATACATTTGGCCCAATGTAATACATCCACAGCTACAGCATAGGCTATAATTAATTATATGGACTTGAGGAAATATTCCATTAATCAGAATTGACACAAATAAAATTTAATACCTTTTTGCTTTCATTAAAGGCATGTAGGTTTATTAGGGGATGCAAATGGTTGCAAATGTTACCTCTGTACAAGTGATTTTCAATGTGAGGTTGTGGTTGTTTGCAAAAGTATATTCAACAGGAATTTTAAAATACATTTTCCAGTAGGAATACATTATAAAGGAAAACTTCAAATGTACCCGCGGTACTTAACCACCAAGGATTGGGGACTGTTGGCCTCAGTTTTTCTATCTGTTGAATAAGCTGAATGAGAATTTAGTTCTAAGCTAATAATGACTATCTTCCATGGCTTAGAACTGATTCTAGTCGGGTAGGGACTGAGGGTTAGTAAAAGGTAAGGATGGAGGCCATATGGAAGAGGGAAGTGTAGAAGGTGGAAACCAAATTCAGGATTTCCTTCAAATACAAAATTCAGGGATACTTCTTGGTTCTGGGCAGCTCCCCTGTCACAGGTTTCTTCTGCTGTCCTCAGGAATCAGCTTGCTTGTTTGCTTTCTCATTGCTGTCATCTGTATTTTCCAAACAGTTTTTTTCACCTTCCCTGATATTTGCAGAAAAGATTGTACTTTTGTATCTCCTCCCCTACATGTGTATCTCTGAAGTAAGCATGCTGATGTTTTTTACTACTTATAAGGAAAGGGAAATGTTTCAGAAACAAAGAGATCTTTCATCTAGCTGTGCCACAGGATCTCTCTTTTTTTCCCCCCAGTGAGCATTTTCAGGGGGAAAAAGTTGTATATAAGTGCCACTTATATTTCAGAGGAAAATCAGATTGCAGTTATAGTGGACTCACTATTATTAGAGCTGGGCAGAGGCAGCAGCTTGGAGTAACAGGACTCTTGCCTGTGGGTGGGAGGGATGAGGAAACTGAAGACTACAGGAATCAGCTGCATTGGGTTGCAGGGTTGCAGTGTTGTCGGAAGGGCAGAATCATCCTGACCCTGAAGACCAGAAAATAGAGGAAATTCGTATGCCTCTTTGCTTTCATTCCACAGGGAGACTTTAGCACAAATAATAGAAGAAAATTTGAACTGTCTTGGCCATTTAAGCACTATTATGCATGAAGCAAATGAGAAACAGGGCAACAGTATGATGGTAAGTTTTATATGGATACGGATGTCTGTTTTAGGTATGTTGGGTGCAAAGGATTTAACTTTCCATGCTAGATTTATCTGGCATTTGGGATGCAGATGGGGAATAGAACTCAGAGGAAAGAGCATTTGAGGAATGCTTGATCTCAACTCCCCATCTTCTCTTATTCATGGATATACTAGGATTATGTCATCAGTTATCTTCAACAATAGCATTTTTGGTCAAGTTAAATGAGTAGTGAGCTTTCTTTGCAGTGTGACCACTGAAATCGAATGGTTTGTACTTTTTGCTTCAGCAATCAATTTTCTCCAATAAGATTGGACATGATTTGTACTGTAATTCAAATATAGTAACTGCTGTATGCAAAATGAATGTTAATATGGTTATAATTTATAGAAGTGTTTATATGAAGATTTGGTTACTGTGAATTATTGATTTGTTAAAACTTGGAGAAACTACAATAAAATGTTTACTGGATTAACTTTCACTACATTTAGTCTTGATGTTAATTCTTTGTTATTTCCTCTTTAATTATTTGCTTCAAATATTTATAAAAACTCTGAAATTTTTTTTTAGTTAGCAGAAAAGGTAAACTAAACTCTTTAATTGCAACTTATTTGTACTTTTGGTTTTTCAACTTTTGATTATAAAATGTCCAAATATACAGAAAACTTGCAGAAATGAACACCCATATACCTACCACTTTTAGTCAATATCTAATTGTATCTTTTTCATGCCTGGTTTTAGAATCTTGATTGGAGTTGGTTAACAGAATGACTTGCCACTTACTGACCCAAACGTATGAAGTTGTTGCTGCAAATGTTGGAAATTTGTTTTTCTCTTATGAAACCATTCTTCAGACACCCATCAATGGAAGAAATGACTATGATCAGAAACTACACATGATTTCACAGTGCAATATTTTGACTGGGTAATTTTAACCTCTGAACAGATAGAATTTAATGACTCAGTGGACTTGTTTAAATACTACAGCTACTTAGGAGCATCGTTGGAATCCATTTGTCTTCAAACTTGATAAAACATTACTTATTTAACTTGACTATCTTTCAACATTTCACTTTTGGGCATAAGGCCAAAGTAATGTATACAGAGAAGAAAATCTCAACTAACATGTATTCTAAGTAAAAATTGTTTGCCTGTGTTTCTGTGGAAGAGACTGTTTGCAAGTAGAATTGTACTTCTTGAAGAATAAACCCTACCTCCTTGTGTTGCACTCAACAGTGCTTTTCCCGGCATCATAAGGAGTTAGTTTAATCCCATTTTCAATTTCAATCCCAAATGCACATTTGACTGTATCCCTTTCCTACAGAAGGGATTGTGCATCTGTGCCTTTAATACCAGTTGATTCTTTCAAATCTTGTTAAGTGTGCTATGTGTATATGTATTTAAGATGTACATTTAATAATATCAGAGAAAAGATGCCTGTTAATTTATAATGTATTTGAAAGCTTATCTATGTTTTCATTTGTATAAATGGGTCTTTTGTTTAAGGAATCTTTCATGTCTTGTCATATAAATTTATAAAGGTCTGTACTCCCGATCTGTAATTCCAAAATGCAAAAAGCTCTGATAACAAGGTTTTTCATAAGTTTGGTGACAGAATTCACCTGCTTGCACATCCAACGTGAACTGACATTGAATCTATCCCATTTAGTGTGAATATTCTTTTTTTTTTTTTTTTTTTTGCTGTAGAAATATTAACGTGTTTGCTTGTTTGGGGGTAGGGTGCTGCCACAGACCCTGCCTGGGGTTTATGTAGTATGGCATATGCACTGAATTACCTTTCTAAAAATCTGAAAATTTCATAATTCTGAAACACCTGGCCCCAAGGGTTTCAGATAAAGGATTGTGGGTCTATCATCTGTTAAATAATTTAGAAGGTGTTACTTGTTTAAAGAAAAATGTGAAATTCTTTTGTATTTTAGACAGTTTTTCACTTTGTGTATTAAATAATTTTTAAATTACTTTTTGAACCTCTATTCACTAAAATCAGATTATAATAATTGAATATGCTTTGGGAAAATGTGAAGATTCTGTGAAGCAGCGTTGGAGCACAGAATAACATAATGGGCTCTCAGTGTACTTTCCTTAGGAATGAAACAGGACTTATGGTAAAGACAGTATTGGGTAGCTTCTTTAATATACTCTTTTCTCCTGAGATGTCCTATCAACACTATCCATGTCTAAAAACTGTGCTCATACCTTGCCCTATAAACTGCTGTCTTAGTTACACCATCCCCATTTTTGCTAGTAGTGTCATTTTCCCAGTCATCTAAGTTTGAGACCTTGGGGTCGTCTTCTCCTAACTCTAGTCATCTGGTACTGCTGTTTCTCTGAATATGGACATTCTGACTACCAGCCGTTAAAATAGGCAGTCTCTCTCTTGCTTCTCCAGTTCTAGAAGGTTTTAATCAATAAACATTTATTGGGTACCTATTGCTTGGAAGATATTGAGCAAAATGGGAAGATCAGAAAAGTTAACACAGGCAGTACAATAAGAATGTTTATGTGGAATGAAATTATTGTTAAAGGATTTTTTAAATGACCATGTGTTTTTCTAAATATCATTGTAATAACTGATAAAAGATCTGGTAGAGGGTGGGACCATATTTATGGTTTGTGGCTGATATGATCTCAGGCTAGCCTGATCTGTGTGATACGTAAGGGCAAGTGGTGTGAGTCAGAACGGTCTTTCATAGTGCGAGCACCTCAAATTTGCTTATGATACATGAGTTGAACACTTTATTGGCTGACAACTTTTCAGAGTTAAGTGTCAGTTGTGCATTATATCCATTTCATTCCCTAATTCAAGCAATATTATGAAAAACTAAGAGAATCCATCCAGAAAACAGAGGCCGGACAAGTTATTTTTTATTCTCTTTGCTTTTTATCAGTTAAAATAGCTAAGCTCTGCAAATAACATTTATCTGGTACAGACACGGTCCCATACATTCCTAGTAGAAGTCAAATGAATGATACAGGTAAGTGCATTTATTGAAGGGAGAAGGTACAGTGGTCTGGGAGGGCTTCCTTTAAAGAAGATTTTAATTGATTCTATTTACCTCTTCCCATTTCCACTGTTACTACCATGGTAACCTTGGGCCTGCAGTTTCCTAACAACTTGGCTTCCCTGTCTCCTGTCTCCACTCTAAGCCATTTGGTAGACTCACTGGCCCTAAGGTACTGCTTTCCCATACTTCCCTGCCCAAGAGGTTACAGAGCCCTCCAACCTTATTCTACCTTGTCCAGTTGTGGTCCCACTGCTAGCCTTTCAAGGCTTACACCATTACTGCCCAACCTCTTCTAACATGCTGCCCTTATTTCCTTTGTATCCATCTTTCTTACTCCCATCTACTCTTTCACTTTGTCCTTTCTGTTTCCGGTAATACATGCAGATAATGCATAATTTAAAAGAACAGAAAAATATGTAGTGAAAAGAAAGTCTGTCTCTATTCTCTAGCCATCCAGTTTTCCCTCCCTACAGAAAAAGTGCATTCGAGCCTTTCAAAATCTGGGCCTAGCCTAGCATCCCACTCCTTTCCATCACACAGGCTTCAAGGAAGCTCAAATGCTCATTGTCTTCAATCTTCCCGGAGGACCCTCCAACACACACCCACGTTTACTGCTTATTAGTTTATTCTGTTCTTATTGCTTGGATGGCTTTCATAAAGCCCTCCCTGGATCAGCATTCTGGCACGTTAATAGGTGACTGCACAAGAACACGCTGACCAGTCCCTTGTCTCAGAGGCCCTCTCCGTTCCTCTGCCTCCTTCCTTACTCCACATTGCCGATTTCCCGTCTCTTCCGGAGCAGGAAACCAGCAGTACACAGTAGAGAGCCCACGTACCTTCGCGCGAGATAGCTCGGCGGGCGGCGGCAAGAATTTTGTCCCGTCCGCTCCCCGTCTCTAGTCGCGGGGCAAGCGCAGCGTCGGTGTGCGTGTCTGCGCAGCCGCAGTGCCCCGCGGGTGGGCGGGGCCGGCTCTTGGCCGCGGTTGGTGCGGCCCGGGTGGAGACTTCACGTGCACTCGGGGGGCGGTGCGTCACTGATCGGTGGGGCGCGGCCGAGGGGTCGGCGTCCGTCCGGAGTCTGCGGCTGGCCCCCTTCTCAGTTAATGCTTTCCCCTGGGCGGGGAGGAGCGGCTGTTGGGAGTGGGGGTGGGGGGGTGTCAAGAAGCTCACCGAGCAGGGGCGACCCACGGGCCGGCTCGCGCGGAGGGGTTGGCGACGGGGAAGCGGGCTCTGCGAGGAGGGAAAGAGGCACAGGACTCCTCAGCTCGGCCTGCGGGAGGGGGCCAGGTCGCGGGAGGGCGAGGTGGAAAACGGAAGGTGGGCCTGTCACTCACGGGGCTGGGGCCCCGTTCCTTCCTCATCCAGGAGGAACTAGGATGAATATGACTCAAGCACGCGTTCTGGTGGCTGGAGTGGTGGGTCTGGTGGTTGTCCTCCTCTACGCCTCCATCCACAAGATCGAGGAAGGACACCTGGCCGTGTACTACAGGTGAGCGGCACGTGCAGTCAGCTCAGGTTCTAGAGCAGGTAGAAGGGAGGCTCCCATTAGAGTCTAGGAAGTTGTTCCCTCTGCGGTGTCAGGGAGCTCTTTCCAGTCCTAGGAAGTGACTTTCGTCGCAGCTCTAGGGAGAGTATGGAAGCTGTGGCAGGCTTTTGCAGAGCATCCTCCAGGTGTTGGACAGTTTCAGTGCTATGTACATTGTGTGCAGAGGTTAAGACTCCCTGCAGTTGTTCCTAGTAGTCAGTAAATTCAGTCATTTGCAGAAAAAAATGAAGGGTGGAAGGCAGTGGTGACTCCACCTGTGGCTGAAGAAATGGATAAATCATTGTTAAATTCCATACAGCTGTACTGGCCATTAGTTGCAGCTGTAGGTGCTATTTAGAAACTCTGGTCCTGTTTGTGGTTGTTTCTTAGATTTTTTTTTTTTTTCCTTTAAAAAGTCTTGGTGTCTGGTTTGGGCTTGTAAGGCCATTAAGACCGTGACAGTTGTTAAATTCCTGGACCTTGGGAGACAAACACAGGATTGTGACAGATACATCCTCCTCCGACCTTTCCCTGTCTTTTCAGGTTGTGGAAAGCAGTGGTGTGGAATGTGTTGATCTCTAGCTGAGATGAATAGCTTTTCCTTTAACGTAGTTACCACCTGTTCTTTTGATATAGACAGAGGACAGTTTGGAGAAATTGCGATAACGATGTATTTGAAAGAGCTTCAACTTTTTGCCGGCTTTTGTCATCCCATGAAACCAATATTTCTACTTTTAGATCCATCCTGAGTCTTAGAAACAGTCTTCCCTGTGAAGCACTAATTTCAAATACAATTTTAGTGATATATCTTAGCAGGTGGGGGGTCTGGCATTTAAAAAATGGCAGATTAGTCTGTATTTCCATCTAGTTCAGCATTGTCTTCCTGACAGTAAATCCGAGAACATTTCAAGGTATGGCTCTCAAAAAATTAGGGCTGGACCGCGAACAGTTCATCTTTTATTAGCTATTTGTTATGAATTCTTTGCAAACCTATTTATATTTTCAAGATAGGAAGGTAAGTTATATTAATTTACTATTCATTATGTAAAATAGGACTTCTTTTTTATATTTGCCTCCAAATTACCTCCTTTTTATAACTTGCAAGATGTGCTTTCATGTTTCTCACATTCCGGAATTTGGTGAACAAGCCCACACTTATATCTATTTGTAGTCTTATCCCCTCACCCTTCATCTTTCCGTGCTAATTTGTTGTTGTTGTTGATTTTATAGAGGCTTTATGCCCCCAGTATTTTTTTCTTTGTTCCAAATAAGTTTCTTTTTTGATTTAAAAAAATTGTTTAAATTGTTAATTTACAATGTTGTGTTTCAAGTGTATAGCAAAGTGATTCAGTTATACATATATATATTTATTTATATATATTATTTTTCAGATTTTCTATTATAGGTTATTACAAAATATTGAGTATAGTTCCCTGTGCTATACAGAAGGTCCTTGTTGTTTACCTATTTTATATATAGTAGTGTGTATGTTAATCGCCCCCAGCATTTTAATTGCTTTGTAGGTAGATTAAAAGAATCTTGAGCATCAGAAATTTTCTCCTTCCTTGAAAGTTTGTGTTATCTATTTTTTATTCAGCCTGGTGATTAAATGTATTGTGTTTTGATCTGGCTCATGCTATGTACAATTAAAGTACATCAACTGAGAGCCATTCGAATTTTTTTCACAAGTAGTTCTCAAAAGGTTAAAGACCAAAGAGAATCTTTACACCTGAGAGTGGTGCTGGAGACCCAGAGGTATGGTTGGTAGAACTTGTGAAACAAGGTGTAACATGGGCACTTTAATTTGATCTTTTCACTTTTGTAGGTGTGGCAGATATTTTAGGGACCAGCAGTTGTTCATCATTAGTAACTCATATTAGTGAGGCTTTAGTAGATCAATAGCATGAGTAAGAGTGAATATTTATTATAGCATTTTAGATTTGGAAAGAGAATTTCTCTTTTTATAATCTTGTCAAATTGAAACATCTTTTTGCAGGGGAGGAGCTTTACTAACTAGCCCCAGTGGACCAGGCTATCATATCATGTTGCCTTTCATTACTACGTTCAGATCTGTGCAGGTGAGTGATTCCTAGGGAAGCCCCCACACTGGATAGACAGGTGTGAGCGAAACAGTGACCACATTCATGGGTGGAGATAGAATTCCTCATTTCTTAAGCTAATGGTAGTATTTACTTAATTGTAGGAGTTAAAAGTTCAGAGTATAGTTGTCACAGCGTGAGTTATGGTTTTGAACCACCTCACTCTCTTGAGGTATATTAGAAGTATGAGCTAGGCGGCTTGGAAGGACTCACTTCTCCCATCTATATAGTGGTATGCAGCAGGTTTTGTGTTGCTGCTGTCAAAATAAAAGCAGGACTTTGAAACACAACTAGAGATATAAACCAGTGATAACTTGGTTTAGAATGGT